AAACTATAAATATTGCGAGCAAAGCGAGCTTCATATTTCGTACTTTAGAAACAGGGCAAACAAATATTGCGAGCGAAACGAGCTCTATATTGTACATCAGGAACAGGGTAAACAAATATCCGAACCAAGCGAGTGCTATACAGGGTGTGATAGAAATTGTGACTGTGATTTTTTTCAATATTTTTCATCCTTTATCGATACTAAACCTACCCTGAAGCTATGGCACGCATTTAAATAACACCCTGTATATTATTTCACAAACATGGCACAATTAATTAAAAAACCACTTCTTGATTATTTCAGCGCTACAAGTTTTCGGCGCGGAGACGGTGAACAAGTCGGTACACCTGTGCGTCTCAAGCCTCAGTCACAAGGAGATCAACAAAGACGTGATGTTCCGCGCGCTCGACCTCTACGCGCTTCACTTTAAGAAGGCAGCTGGACTTAGGAACCCCTCCTTCGACGCCAACTAAGGTTTTATACCAGTTTTATTTAATGAATCTAGATATACAGGGTGTCCCGGTTATCGTGGTGCAATGAAAAAATCTAGACTCTGAACATCCTAAGCTACCATAAAAGCAAAAAAAACTTGTTCAATATTTGAAGAAAACTCTCTCTCAAATCAAACCAAAATATTGACCTTTTTTCTTCAAATTATTGAACAATTTTTTATGCTATTATGGTAGCTTAGGATGTCCAGAGTAATGATGTGCCGTGCCCGGGAACGTTCCCTGCAGCTGGGAATATTGCCGGAAACGCTCCCGGGAGCGTTCCCAAACTGGGAATCTACTGGGAACTTTGGACAAATGTTTATTAAATATAAAATACCTTACCATTACTTGGGCTTTCAGACCTTTACTTACACACATGTATTTATGACATATCAAAAATTTGAAAGATAGACGTAAATTCCCAGCCCATTGGGAATATTGCCGGCAATATTCCCAGTAAGTTCCCAGTAAGTTCCCGGGAACATTGCTGGGCAGCATATTTTCGATAACTCTTTCGGAATTTAATTTTAGTGTGGGTCGTTGGTCGTTGGTGTTTGTTGGGTCGTAAGGGTTATTTGTGTGGGTCGTTGGTGTTTGATGGGTCGTAAGGGTTTATTACGTGGGTCAATAGTGTTTGTTGGATCGTAAGAGTTTATAACGTGGGTCATTGGTGTTTTTTCGGCCGTAAGGGTTTATAATGTGGGTAGTTGGTGTTTGTTGGGTCGTAAGGGTTTATTACGTGGGTTGTTGGTGTTTGTTGGGTCGTAGGGGTTTATGACGTGGGTCGTTTGTGTTTGTTGGGTCGTAAGGGTTTATTACGTGGGTCTTTGGTGTTTGATGGGTCGTTAGGGTTTATTACGTGGGTCGTTGGTGTTTGATGGGTCGTAAGGGTTTATTACGTGGGTCGTTGGTGTCTGATGGGTTGAAAAGGATCATTTGTGTGGGTCGTTGATGTTTGATGGGTCGTAAGGGTTTATAACGTGGGTCGTTGGTGTTTGATGGGTCGTAAGGGTTTATTACGTGGGTCGTTGGTGTCTGATGGGTTGAAAAGGATCATTTGTGTGGGTCGTTGATGTTTGATGGGTCGTAAGGGTTTATAACGTGGGTCGTTGGTGTTTGATGGGTCGTAAGGGTTTATTACGTGGGTCGTTGGTGTTTGATGGGTCGTAAGGGTTTATTATGTGGATTGCTGGTGTTTGATGGGTCGCAAGGGTTTATTACGTGGGTCGCTGGTGTTTGATGGGTCGTAATGGTTCATTACGTGGATCGCTGGTGTTTGATGGGTCGCAAGGGTTTATAGCGTGGGTCGTTGGTGTTTGATGAGTCGTAAGGGTTTATTACGTGGGTCGTTGGTGTTTGATGGGTCGTTACGGTTTATTACGTGGGTCGTTGGTGTTTGTTGGGACGTAAGGGTTTATTACGTGGGTCGTTTGTATTTGATGGGTCGTTAGGGTTTATTACGTAGGTCATTGGTGTCTGTTGGCTAGTAATTATAATAATAAACCCTAACGACCCATCAAACACCAAAGACCCACGTAATAAACCCTTACGACCCAACAAACACAAACGACCCACGTCATGAACTCTTACGACCCAACAAACACCAACGACCCACGTAATAAACCCTTACGACCCAACAAACACTAACGACCCACGTCATGAACTCTTACGACCCAACAAACACCAACGACCCACGTAATAAACCCTTACGACCCATCAAACACCAACGACTACGATATAAAACCTTACGACCCATCAAACACCAGCGACCCACGTAGTAAACCCGTACGACCCATCAGACATCAACGACCCACACAAATGACCCTTTTTGACCCATAAGACACCAACGACCCACGTAATAAACCCTTACGGTCCATCAAAAACCAACGACCCACGTAATAAACCCTAACGACCCATCAAACACCAAAGACCCTCGTAATAAACCCTTACGGCCCAACAAACACAAACGACCCACGTCATAAACCCTTACGACCCATTAAACACCAACGACCCACGTAATAAACCCTTACGACCCATCAAACACCAACGACCCACGTAATAAACCCTTACGACCCATCAAACATCAACGACCCACACAAATGACCCTTTTCGACCCATCAGACACCAACGACCTACGTAATAAACCCTTACGGCCCATCAAACACCAACGACCCACGTAATAAACCTTTACGACCCATCAAACACCAACGTCCACGATATAAACCCTTACGACCCATCAAACACCAGCGACCCACGTAATAAACACTTACGACCCATCAAACATCAACGACCCACACAAATGACCCTTTTCGACCCATCAGACACCAACGACCTACGTAATAAACCGTTACGGCCCATCAAACACCAACGACCCACGTAATAAACCCTTACGACCCAACAAACACAAACGACCAACGTCATAAACCCTTACGACCCAACAAACACCAACAACCAACACAAATAACCCTGACGACCCATAAATACCTACGACGCACGTAATAAATTCTTACGACCCATCAAACACCAACGACCCACGTAATAAAACCTTACGACCCATCAAACACCAACGACCCACGTTATAAACCCTTACGACCCATCAAACACCAACGACCCACACTGTGTGTGCGGCGGCGGCTTGATCGGATTGATTTAAATTAAAAATGCAGTCACATAAATTTCGGCAATATTTCGACTGGGAACTTAGGGGAATATTCCCGGGCACGTGGAAACTTCCCGGCAATATTCCCACTGGGAATGTGCCCGGGAGCGGGCATATTCCCAGCGGCACATCATTAGTCCAGAGTCTAGATTTTTTTCTTTACACCACGACAACCGGGTCATCCTGTATATGTACTTGTACAGCCAGTTAACAGCGACGCTCAAACGAAGTTATGTATACTACATACTATTGGCTATTCAGTGGTTGGTTATGTCTTGAAGTGTATTCATTGTTTTAGTTTAGGTACCTATTATAAAATAGTGTATAGTTGAAGTATTTGAAAGTATTTTGAAATTAATATCTAAGATCTTGCTTGCTCTCTATTTTTATTTCATAACCAAAGATATATGTACTGAGTACCTACTTTAATGAACTATGCTTTAAACGTGTTATATTTTAAATGTGTATTTAAATGTTGGTAAATGATACATTCCGTACAATAAAACTTACTGTTTAAACATCAAATAATGCATTTATTATTATAAAATCTATTATTATAATTGATCATAATCTTTTAAATTACTATTTTTGCGAAACTAAGTATAACTGGCGCAGATATAGAGCATATACATTATTGTTTGCCTCTCTATTATTATTCTACGACATTTGAACAGGATGCACTCACAGCGCTATATTATTCTCATAAATTAAATAATGAGAAAATTGAAAAATTCACTAGCGACCGCCGTGAATTTCTCTTGATGCTCGTCTCGAAGCGACGGTTAAGCGACATCTAGTCTACCAGCATGTTTTTTTTACAACTAAGTTATTCACCAGGGTCCGCTAGGCACCCGTAGCTCAGTCAGTAGAGCGGTGGAACGGTGAACCACAGTCCCGGCGGTCGCTGAACAGGATTTCAACAATAATGTTGCCAATTCGGGTTAAGTTCTTTATTTGTGCCAGTTATAATATTATTGTGAAATGGATTACAATACATACAAGTAATATGTAGGTATTATTTTTATCAAGTCACAAATTCAGTACTTATTATTTTTACTACTGCAATAGGCGATAAATTGCAAAAGGTAGTACCTAGAGTGTAAAACACTATAAATAAAATGTTATGTTTGTAAGTACAATCTATAGAAACATATACATAAATCTCAGTTTTTTAATGTTGAAAATCTGATATTTTAAATGCAGTCTTACAATTTTTAGAATTACTTGATTAAATCCTCGAATGGTTACTTAAATTATTCGACTTGTAAGTACCGGCTAGTATAAGTGAAAATGGCATGTTTCATTTGGATTACAAGTAAGTGTTGCAGGATAATATTTTGATGTAGAATTGTTGGAATAATTAGATCATTACCATACCTTACCGTTTTATGCGTAAAACTCTTACGGTTTAGTTTCACCATAAAAACGCCCATGGTATTGGTACACCTCCACATGGTACTACAGATGCCGAAAGTCTCAGGTACAAATGATTATGCCTGAAATCATGCCTACGCTACGGTGATAAATTTTGGAAGCTTTCCAACAATTAAATATTTGAAAATAACATACCTTATATTTCAGTGACCATATTAACCCTTCACTCGGCGAATGGCTACGTCCTCCTTACGGCCAACTTAGATGACGTGTCGGCTATCGCAAAACAGCTGTCTAATTCCCCCCTCTCCGACCAACTCGATAAAATATGGAGACGGGCCGCCCAGCAGTTCAATATGTATGTGAATAAAGACGCGAATGTACAGCAGAGGGCACACGACGACGAATTTGCTCCACAGGGTTTGTAGAATTATTTTCATCCGCTTAAATGAAAATAATAAATTGAAAAAAATGTTAGCGTCGGCCGGGGTTTGAACCCGGGACCGTGAGGTACCGTCGCAATGCTCTGCCAAATGAGCTTCCGGCGCCTAGACGACGCTATCAAATTTTCAACCTCAAGATGCTCGTTTTGAAGCCGTGCTTTTAGCGACATCTAGTGGTATTTTTAACCGACTTCCTCAGAGGCTATAGCCCAAACGGGGTATGAGGTGTCAGTGCGAGGCAAGTGACACTGGCTAGGTAGGTAGGTATATTAAAATTTCATAAATTCAACATGGTGGATTTTATACGCAAAATATAACACTGAAATTATCGCCGTCTGGTTTTTGTTTTTTAATACATCTGCTTGTTTTTTTGTTAAGTATTTGATGTTTGATCACAATTATGCCACAGGGGGCTATGGATACCGGAAACAAGCCCAGCCGCCGGCCCAATCGTTCCAGCCGGACAAGCCCATCGTACCGGACCAGCCCGTCGTACCGGACCTAACATTCCAGCATGACGAGCCACTGCCTAACGTCGAGAAACAGACCCAGGTTAAGAAAGAGGTCAGGAAATAAGATTTTTATTTTACTTTGATTTGAGCTTTTGGCGTTAACAGTAACAAGTTTCCATACAAACGCTTTCCCCATTCCTTTCCAAATAATTCATTCTTCTAATGTCCGCTGTTGGACGCATGCCGCTTGATGTTTTCTCCTCTTGAATAATTTCATGTAGAGCTATATTAAATTATTCTTTTTAGGGTTTCGTAGTCTACTAGAAACCCTTATAGTTTCGTCATGTCTGTCTGTCTGTCTGTCTGTCTGTCTGTCTGTCTGTCTGTCTGTCTGTCTGTATGCCGCGCCCTCATATCTTCGTCAGTTTTAGAGCTATCGACATGAAATTTAGTGAGAAGATAGATCGTGTTGACCCAAATGTAGAATTGTTAAGAAAAAAATATATTAAATGTTTTTTGGACCCCCTCCCATACAAGTGAAAGGGGGGCAAAAAAAAAAATTATTTCTGTAATATTGAGTAGGGTATTGTTGAAAAGGTCTTTTAAAACTAAGGGGAGGTTCCTTTAAAACAAAGTCACTAAAATGTTTCTGTCACGAGATATTTGCTTTTAAAAAGAGCGTTTTTGACCCATGATTTGTTCCAGCTGTAACTTCTAAAGTATAAACGCTAAAAATTTGAAATAAATCTTCTATATACAGGGTTATTTTTTAGTCAGTGCGCAAACTTAGCAGGATGTTTCTACTCGTGATTCTAAACAACTTTTACTATGGGGCCACATGCGAAATCTAAAAAAAATTTTTGCTTGTTTCATACATTTTTGCCGAGTAGGTATGAATTTTTCTATGGAACATCCAAATTTTTTTTGCGAATTCTTAGGTGGTCCCATAATAAAAGTGGTTCGGAATCACGAGTAGAAACACCCTGCAAAGTTTGCGCACTGACTAAAAAATAACCCAGTATATAAAAGGCAAAGGGGATAGGTCATAGATCAACGCACAGGCTAAACCTTTAGAGCTAGAAGCGTGAAATTTAGCGTGCGTATTCTTTAAACAACGTAGGCATCCACTAAGAATGGATTTTTCGAAATTCACCCCCTAGGGGGGTAAAACAGGGGATGAAAGTTTGTATGGAACTTTTTATTCTTTTGATATATTTGGCTGAAATTTCGTACTGTAAAAGATCTTTGAAAATAATAAAAGACGTGTTTTGGCGTTTTTCAAAATTCAAACCATAAGGGGGTAAAAAGGGGGATGAAAGTTTGATATTAACGTGCTGGCCGGACCCTTAGAGCCACAGATTTGATTTTTGGCACACTTATATCTGATGTATAGTAAAAATCATTATATTCAAAAGTTTTCATAAATCATACCCCGGGGTGTCAAAATAGGGGATGAAAGTTATACAATGCTGAAAAGGCCAAACCCTTAGGACTAGAAGCTTGAAATTTTGCGTGCGTATTATTTAGACAACAACATAGGTGTCCACTAAGAAAAGATTTTTCGAAATTCAACCCCTAAAGGGGTAAAACAGGGGATGAAAGTTTGTATGGAACTTTTTATTCTTTTGATATATTTGGCTGAAATTTCGTACTATGGAAGATCTTTAAAAATAATTAAAGACATGTTTCGGCGATTCCCAAAATTGAACCCCTAAGGGGGTAAAAGGGGGGGATGAAAAATTGGTATTAACGTGCCGGCCGGATCCTTAGAGCCAGAGACTTGAAATTTGGCACACTTATTTCTGATGTATAGTAGATATCGTTATATTCAAAAGTTTTCAAAAATCATACCCCGAGCTGTCAAAATAGGGGATGAAAATTATGCAATGCTGAAAAGGCCAAACCCTTAGGATTAGAAGCTTTAAATTTTGTATGCGTATTCTTTGGACAACGTAGGTATTTATTAAGAAAGGATTTTTCGAAATTCAACCCCTAAAGGGGTAAAACAGGGGATGAAAGTTTGTATGAAACTTTTTATTCTTTCGATATATTTGGCTGAAACTTCGTACTAAGGAAAATCTTTGAAAATAATTAAAGACGTGTTTTGGCGTTTTTCAAAATTCAACCCATAAGGGGGTAAAAAGGGGGATGGAAGTTTGATATTAACGTGCTGGCCGGACCCTTAGAGCCACAGACTTGAAATTTGGCACACTTATATCTGATGTATAGTAGATATCACTATATTCAAAAACTTTCATAAATCATACCCCGGGGTGTCAAAATAGGGGATGAACGTTATGCAATGTTGAAACGGCCAAACCCTTACGGCTAGAAGCTTGAAATTTAGCATGCGTATTTTTCAAACAGCGTAGGTGTCCACTAAGAAAGGGTTTTTCGAAATTTAACCCCTAAAGGGGTAAAACAGGGGATAAAAGTTTGTATGGAACTTTTTATTCTTTCGATATATTTGCCTGAAACTTCGTACTAAGGAAAATCTTTGAAAATAATTAAAGACGTGTTTCGGCGTTTTTCAAAATTCAACCCATAAGGGGGTAAAAAGTGGGATGGAAGTTTGATATTATCGTGCTGGCCGGACCCTTAGAGCCACAGACTTGAAATTTGGCACACTTATATCTGATGTATAGTAGACATCATTATATTCAAAAGTTTTCATAAATCATACCCCGGGGTGTCAAAATAGGGGATGAAAGTTATGCAATGTTGAAACGGCCAAACCCTTACGGCTAGAAGCTTGAAATTTAGCATGCGTATTTTTCAAACAGCGTAGGTGTACACTAAGAAAGGATTTTTCGAAATTTAACCCCTAAAGGGGTAAAACAGGGGATGAAATATTGTATGGAACTTTTTATTCTTTTGATATATGGTTTCGCCAGTTTAGAAAGTCCACTATTGGGAAAATTACTTGATTCATACTTTAATAATAATTTAAAATTTCGCGCTCAGTCGTTTTTCAAATAAATATTGGGAATTGATCCGCTTCCGGTGTGGCTGGTGGCCAACAGGCCAATCAACAGCCGGGAACCATGATTTCCGTTGGCTAGACCAATGAGAGTACAGTATTCTCGGTGTCTCAAAAAACTTCGGTGCGAACCCCTACGAGGCCGCCATTCTTACAACGAAACCCTGCTCCACACCACAAACTTATTGAAGAAAACTTAAAAACCATGGTTAAAAGTCAAGAAAAGCGCTGAATGTGAATTATTCGATTTAAGAGGATCCTCAAAACCATATGGAACAAGGCCAACATTGGGTAAGATCTTTTCTGAATTTATTTCGACCAACGACCGCCCATTTTTCTTTGCAGTTCATTTCGAAGGATTTTTTAGCTGGCTTTTCCATAATTTATGGTCCTTCTAACCGAGGATACCTTTGTAGTAGTGTATTTCACTCCAGATTGTTGAATTGAATCGTCTTACGTCGTTTTCATGCGACTAACCTCATTGCTGAACTTACCTACTAAGTAGAAAACCTCGTGAATAATACGTTTTAGGGATCCTTGTATAGTTCTAACTTACTTTGCGCATATTTTTACGTATACAGGGTGTTAGGGACGGTGTACCGAAAACTTAGCAGGCATGATCAGACCATCAAACTGAACAACTTTTACTATGGAGCCAATGGTGGGAAACGAAAAAAATTTTTCCACCTCCCATACAAAATTCACGATCAGCTGACTGACTTTGTATGGGAGGTCGGAAATTTATTTTCGTTTCCCACCATTGGCTCCATAGTAAAAGTTGTTCAGTTTCATGGTCTGAGCACGCCTGCAAAGTTTTCGTTACACCGTCCCTAACACCTCGTATTTACGCACATTTCATGTAGGAGCAGGTCGGATAATAAGAATCGCATATTTGTTCGTTGCAATTGCGCGCCGAACACGTGCTCGGCTGGTGTAAGTTCATTGACCTCCGGGCGACTCTCATCTTACCTACATAATCTTTGAGTAGGTAGGTACAAATTCAGATGCATTGTGTCATCAAACCGCAAACTCTGGTTTAAGTTACTAACCTAGAGTGATATAAGACCTATTGTTGTTTAGTTAGTGCATTTTCGCTTACAGTGGACTAAGTTACTGTTCACTGAAATTTACAAAGTAGGTAGGTATTACCGCGAGCCACAAGTTTAAGTTATTAACTTGTTGGTGATACTGCTTATTCTGCGTATACTAACAACTGCATACCCAGATTTAAGTTACTAATCTGTTGGTGTTTTTCTGCTTTCATAGCAATAACTAGCTTCGGTTAAAGTTACTAACCTATAGGCAATTTTCTCAGCACAGGCTCAAGTTATCAGTCTGTTGCCAATTTCTTATTACCCAGATTTAAGATATTCATCTGTAGGTATTGTCTGCTTACACATAGGTTTAAATTACTAACCTGTAGGCGTTTTCTTTCAAAGTTATGAGCCCAGACTCAAGTTATCAGTCTGTTGGCTACTCTTTACCCAGATTTAAGATATTAATCTGTAGGTATGTTTTTATTCTTATACATATAGGTTAAAGTTACTAGCCTGTATACTATTTTCTTAAAATTAATTTTTCAATAGCCTAGACTCAAGTTATCAGTCTGCTGACAACATAGTTATCCCATTAGTTACACTGCATCTGTTCTATGAACATTAGAATTGAGTGGA